GTGTAAATTGGAGGGTCATTTCAATTTTTGAGGACCTAGACTTAAATATATCTTTCAAAAAAACATCAATGGGTATAATAGTTTAAACCTTGTATAACAGTTTGTCAAAGTCGAGTAAAGAAATGATTAAATTGTTTGTGACGATCCGGAGTAGGGTGTAGAGCTGAGGACCATTGAAAGGAAAACGTCCCAGACCACATATTTCGAAAACGGATCAACTGATTTAAATGAAACATTCAGAAAAAAAAGTTCAGCCAATTTTTACAAGGAAGATAGTATTGTGTGTTGGCGACGGATCAGTCAAGGGTGTAAACTGGAAGGTCATTTTTTGAGATCTCAGACGTAAATATATATCTATAAAAAGTTTTCAATGGGTGTAAATGAAACTTTCTATAAAAGTTTGTAAAGGGCCAGTAAAAAATGACTGAATTTTTGTGAAGATCCAGCGTAGGGTTTGAATATGACGACCATTTAAATGAAAACGTCCCAGACCAGATATTTAAAAAACGGGTCAACTGATCCGAATGAAACTTTCTTGAAAGTTTAACCCAAGTTACAAGGAAGATATTATTGTGTGTAGGGGACGATCCAGGTTAGGGTGTAAATTTCAGGGGTCATTTATATTGCTTACGTCTTAGTTATAAATGGATAAAAATGACACTTTGCAGAGTAGTTTTTCATGGTGAAATAAAGAAATAATCTAATTTTGGTGACGATATCCGCAGTAGGGTGTGGACAGGAGGACCATTTAAATATTTTTTTTTTGGACAGTTGATTAAATTATTTAAAAGAAATTTGCGTTTTTTAAAGCGCTTATTAAACAAGTTACAGATAGGTTAAACTACCGTGATATGCATGAACAATTTTACTTTCAGTCATTGAATCGCTATGAACTGAAAATGCACTTTCCTATTCAAGGTTGGCTCATATGGCGCGCAATGGTTATGAGTCACGCTGTACCTCGCTATTACCATTGCAGCCATAGTTCAGATCTCACTAATAACGTCGCAATGAACTTGGTTTTCGTGTTTTTTTTTTCACCTTCATTTTTTCCACTACATTGTAAATTATATTGGGGTTCCGTGTTTTGGTTTTTTTTTTTAGTTTATACGTTTTAACGACTTTTCTTTTTGTTGCATTTTCAACTTCATTTTTTATTAAAGCAATGTAAATTATAACCATATGTTCTGTTGTTCAAACAGACAAAATGATCTTGCGGTTTCTCCGATGTACGTTTTTCCTCACGTATCACATTCAATTTCGTACACGACCCCGCATTGTTTTTTTAACTGGGGTTGGACCTTAGGTTTTACCAGTTGTGTCCGCAGTGTGTTGAAAGGTTTATAGTAAGCTGTTACACCGTTTCTTTTTGAAATTTTATTTAGAGCTTCCGAAGTTCCCTTGTTATATGGGAGAACAACAAGAATTTTCTTTTCATTTTCATCGTTTCGTCTTTATCTGTTAATTTTACTTTTTGTGGTATACCACCACAACACACAGACACAAATCAAAAGTACGACTCACTGAGCAGCTTGTATATGACAATCCCATCACTCTTCCGTATTTAATTGTTACTTGTTATTGTTTTCAACTAACAATTAAATACGGGAGAGCAATGTGATTACGGCATATACAAGCTGTTGAATGAGTCGTACTTTTGATCATAACTGATCATGCATAAAATCAGCAGGTAGACGACAACATTGGCCTGAAAACAGGTGAACAGGGCTCCGGGGAGCGATTTTTTTTTCCGTACGAAACATTTACATGAAACTTCACTCGGTCCATCTCGGATAGACTCGAGTGAGTACGATACGAGGAACAAGATCAGACACTTCGCAATGCCGTGACGCTCGAGTTTTACTATTACTGTATTGCTCTTTCTATGTTTACCTACGGTAGGCCTATGAAATCTTACGGACTTATGGGATGTACGTGTGTAACTAACTGTGACCTTCTTGGATGTTATTAAATGTTAGTATATTATCTACAACAACAACAACTAGTACCTCCTGTTATAAAGTGTAGTAAGGTATACCAAAGGCTAGAGAGAAAGAGGCCTAACAGGCTGAGATCTTACCTAGGCCCCTCATTAAACTAGGCCTAGGGTCTTTTTAAATCCTCTTGCATGTCCATTTTACAATACAGAACATCATCTGTGTCAATACATTTTAAAATATTTTAAAACTAAAATCTGTTATAAACTAACTTTTTCTTTTAACACAACAATAATCCTGTCTCTTATACACATCTAGTAATAAAATGCGTTCATATACTTATTATTACCACTACGACTGACACTAAATCAATGACAATAAGAGGGGCAGAATGGCTAAGAATAAACAGTGAAAAACAATGTCGATAATGACCCTGAAAAGGCTTAACCAACTCTGTAATAACATGAATGTATTATCTTCAAGACCATCAAGAACGGATCAAAACTATTATTATGCCTCCATTGAATATACTTGTAAGCTAATAAGTAACTAATACTGCAGCTCAGGAAAATATGGTGGTCGTCGAAGATGTTTGACCTCCAAAATTCTCCAATAATTAGCTCTATTAATAATTTTTAATAATTTCATATTTCATAATTTTATTTCACTCAAAATGTAATGAGTCTGATAGGCAAAAAAAAAGAACATGTCCCGGTACAAGATGCCTACCAGAGAAACAATGATAAAAGAAAAGACATAATAATAATAATAATAATAATAAATAATAATAATAATAATAATAATAATAATAATAATAATAAAATAATAATAATAAAAATAGTAATAATAATAATAATAATAGTAATAATAATGAGAATAATATAAATAATAATAATAATAATAATAATAATAATATTAGAAATACTGTAATAATAATAATATAGATAAAAATAAATAAATAATAAAAGAAGTAATAATAAAGATAATAAAAATAATAATGAATGAAGATCAAAATATTGCATTGAAGTGAATTTAGTTAGTTTTTAAAACATGATTTGTAGGGCTGGACTGTCATGAATGTGTTGCATTAATGGTGTTCTAAAAGGCTGGATTGTAGGAGACAGACGTATTGAAATAGGGAGACTGTTCCAGGTGATTGGTGTACAGTGAAAGAAGGAGTTGTGAAGTGCATTACATCTGGCATGAGGAAGATAGAGAGTTGGGCAAGTCTGTCTTCATATATATCATATATGCAATATTGTTTGAATAGCGAGCAGAATTCAAGAGGAATCGGGTAAAAAATTTTTGGACGGATTTAATTTGTGTAATGTTGATTTGAAGATGGGGTTCCAGACGAGTATTCAAGTATAGGCTTAACAAGGGAATTGAATAAAACTAACGAAAGGGGGTGACGATTACAAGTACGTATAATAAAATAAAGGGTTCGACAGGCTTTGGAAACAATATTTCCGATATAAGAGTGCCATTTTAGATTAGAATAAGTAACGCCAAGATATTTGTGGGAGGATACATAATCTAAAGGTGAATTCTCAGGGATATGTGATATTGCGCCTTGTTATCCACATGACTTTGCATTTGTCGTTGTTTAGGATCATGCTGTTCTGTTCACTCTATTGTGCAATGCAAACAAGTAGCATAGTCTGGTCCTGTGGGGTATGAATTGGCCTGTATATGAGGGTTTCGTTTGCGTATAGATACAAAGAAGTGCCAGAAGATAATTGCGAGCTAAGGTCATTTGAATAAACAGTGAATAAAAGAGGCTCCAAAATCGAGCCTTGTGGCACACCAGAAGATACAGGAACAAAATCAGAAATACTGCCGTTAAAACAAACACACTGAATGCGGCCAGAAAGTACATTTTGGATCTAATGCCACAACTGCTCGTTAAGACCTATTTTGTGAAGTTTTATCATTAAAGTTGAGTGACAGACACGGCCAAAAGCCTTGTTCTAGTCGAGAAAGATTGAATGGATATCGGGTGGTTTGGAGCTATCAAGGATCTTGGCCCAGTGATGGTAAACGTGGGTCAGCGGGCTAGGACACGAGTATCTTTTACGAAATCCAAATTGGTTGTTAGAAATAATAACAGCATGTGGATGCCTATGTTTATTTTTTTTCCAAATATTGACAAAACACAACATGATAAAAAAGAGAAAAAGAAAAACTGCAACATGCATTTGTCTTTAATTATTAAATATACCATTGTATAAGAATACAATGCAGTCTTTTGTACACTAACATCATGAAAGTATAAAACCAAATTTTATACTAACATGATCGTATGGTCTTTACTATTGACCTACTTTTTAAATCCTCTTGCATGTCCATTTTACAATACAGAACATCATCTGTGTCAATACATTTTAAAATATTTTAAAACTAAAATCTGTTATAAACTAACTTTTTCTTTTAACACAACAATAATCAATCAGTTTGAAATTATAAATATCCCTCTTAAAAAACAAATAATTTCTACTGATGCTGTCATTCATGTTCCTATACATATCAATCTTTAATTATTATCAAATATTCAAATTATTTATTTACTTATTTATTTATCATTATTATTTTTTTAACACTATACTGATAATAATTACATCATAAATTTCCAATACAATATTCTGTGAACACAATTTTTCTTCATTTATAAATCAAATGCTTGTGATCAAGTTCAATCAAATTCCTATGGTTCAATCAGTTATTCAAAAAATCAAGTCCGATGAATTTTAACGCTTATTGGAAATACAGTTCAATCAAAAACGCTTGTTCACAATCAAGCTTAGTCAACCGATCACAAACTCTTTGTACCTCTCAGGCATTCTGCGTATCCTTGAGGTCTCTCTCTCTTTGTCTTTGTTCTTGTTGATTCTCAACTTGAGTTTTTTTGTGTTTCTTCCGCAACAACACCGAAATCATCATCTTCGACTGCGCAGAAACCGCAAGATCTGTTCTTAGATTTTGTTTAACTTTCTTGAAATATGTGTTTAAGAAGGCTATACGCGAGCGTCAATTTGCATTCGACAGAGACCGCTATTCTGAGCAGTACAAGCGTCTCCGTAACAAAGTAAACCGTCTTGCTGTATCTCTTAGGAGAAAATTCTATAAGAACAATTTAGAACACTTATTCAAATTAGATTCTCGTTCATGGTGGGAGGGAGTAAATCAGTTTTTAAACTTAGGGAGGGAGAATAATAACTTTGTTAAGGTTTTGGCCAATGAAGTCTGTGGTGGCGACGTTGTTTTGCTTGCCAACAATATCAATATGTTTTTTCAATCACTCACCTCGGGTTTCATAGCTCTTAAGCCTTCTGAAAACCAGAAGAGGGTTTGCCCATTACTTGACAATCTGATTGTTACTCCTCTTGAGGTTGAGTCTTTGCTTAAAGAAATTAAGCCTAACAAAGCCCCAGGCCCGGATTGTATCCCCCTTGTGTCCTAAAAGAGTTCTCTCATATTTTAGCCAACCCCTTGTGCTCAATTTTTAACTGTAGTATAAGAGAGGGGTTTATCCCAGAGATATGGAGGTGTGCGGACGTAGTTCCGATTCCAAAGTGTAAACCCCCTAGATCAGTTGAAAAAGACCTCCGACCAATTTCCTTAACATCATGTACAGTTAAAATTTTAGAGAGGGTAGTTGGTGAAAGAATATGGGAGCAAGTTAAGGATAAAATCATCCTTAACCAGTTTGGGTGCTCTAAAGGGGTATCAACGCTTGACGCATTAGTTAACTTTCTCCATGAATGCTACAAAGCTACTGATTTTCGCCAAAAAAAAAGCTTATGACCTGGTGGACCACAATGTCCTTATTGATAAATTAAGACGGCTTGATGTTGATTTTGCCTTAATTTCCTGGGTGGCATCTTTCCTTTGTGACAGAAAGCAGCGTATTAAGCTTGGATCTGTTTTTTCTAGTTGGGTTTCCTTGAATGGGGGGATACCACAAGGCTCTTGGGTGGGGCCCATACTTTTCATTGTCTTTTTCAATGACCTCATGGCCGGAGTGTCGTGCATCAAATATATGGATGACACTACCGTCTATGAGCGCATTGGCAGAGACAGATCTAGTGGGCTCCAGTCAATTCTTGATATGGCAGTTGATTGGACTCTTGATAATCATATGGTTATCAATACCAATAAAACTGTTGAAATGCTAATTAGCTGCAAATCTAATAAATCAAACTTTGACCCTCTCAGTATCAATAACAGTATAATTAACAACGTTAATTCGTGCAAACTCTTAGGTCTTAATATTTCGATTGACCTGTCTTGGCAATTGCAAGTGGATACTATGATTTCCAAGGGGATTACCAGATTGTATTTCCTCAAACGATTACGTAGATCTGGCTATGTGTCCCGGGTATGATTCGCTATTATGTTGCTGTTATACGTCCCGTTTTACAATACGCAACTCCAGTTTGGGGAACTTGTATCACTGAAACACAGAGTAAACAGCTTGAACAAATCCAAAGTAGGGCTTTAGGGGTTATTTTACCCGGTGTTAGTTACGAATGTGCAAGGTCCTTTTTAAATATCCCTTTATTGTCAGAGAGGCGCACTCGGTTGTGCAGGGACTATTTCCAGAAGCTCAAAATCTCAACGCATAGGCTAAATCATCTTTTGCCTAAAGCTAGGGAGAAGCATTACAACCTAAGATGTTAACGTGATTTTTATCTCCCTAGAATAAAAACCGAGCGTTCGAAGAATTTCATAACAAATACTGGTTTGTACTGGTAGGTCATCCCTGTACACCCGGGCCCTCCTCTCTGGCGAGGTCTTTTTGAATGAGTTTTTCCTTTTACTTTTCGCAAGCCGGTCTTTTGGTTGGTTTAGGTGTCGGTCTGAATTTTCTTATAGATTTCCTGTTGCAATTATTTTTTATCTTAATTGTAAATTAAATGTAATTTAAATTTTAATTATTTAGCGAATTATTTATTTTTGTACTTGAAATTTTTACTTAATGTTGCCTAATTAATTGTAATTCCTTTATTGTAGAATATTTATGTGTTTAGTGGGGTTGTGAAGTTGTTTTGTAATGTTTTTCTCCCCTTTTGTTAAACTTCAATTTTGAATGAGAGATTGCAATAAAGTTCTTCGTATTTCGTATTTCGTATGAAATGTAACTTCTAATTACCTTACCATCTCTTTCTGCTCCAACTGTATTTCATTTTCTCCACTTGACTCTGTATGTCAAAGGGTGTTGACAGCACATTTGTCTTTTGCTGCTTCACCAACACACTGTCTCCAATCCCTAAATTACTTTGTTTTGTGTGCATATGAACATCCACTCGCTCTTTCATTTTCTTTTTCTGTTCATTATCTTTTCTACGCACGTCAGCCACACTTTCCTGTTTCACAATTTCCACTGATGGTAGACGAATTTTAATCTTCCTTCCATATAACAACTCTGCTGGACTCTTAGCTGTGGTAGAATGTGGAGTTGCTCTGTACTGCCTAAGAAAACCATACAATGCCTGATGAACATTCTTTCCTTCAATACTAGCTGTTTGGAGAACTTTAGTTATTGTTCTCATAAATCTGTTCACTTCCCCATTTGCTCTTGGCCACAAGGGTGTTGCTTTACGGTGTATGAATCCCTGATAATTCGCATACTGCTGAAATTCTTGACTGTTAAATGGGGGACCATTATCAGACAACACAACATTAGGTATTCCGTGCCTTGAAAATATAGCATCCAATTTCGGTATTGTTGCTCTTCCCGACGTTGTCTGTACCATTTCAACTTCTGGAAATCTGCTATACATCATACACTACAAGGAGATACTGTTCATTTGGAAGTAGTCCTTTAAAATCAACTGCCACTTCTGTCCAGGGTGATGTCGGTATTACTGACATTTGCAGTGGTTCAGGTCGTTCTGCATTTGTAGCTACTGCTGCTTGGCATGGCAAACAGCTTTTAACTTGCTGCTCTACCATTTTATCAATGCCAAGGAACTACCCTCTTTATCCTACAAGTGCTTTTGTTTTCACCATACATGGTGTCCTGCATGTGCCAACTCTACTGCCTTATATCTCAAAGATTTAGGAATTAATATTTGGTGTCCACTTAGAACGATTTTATCAACCACTGCAAACTCATCTTTCATCCTTTTAAACTGTGTTTTGATAATGTCTGTTCTCTGCTACTCTCTTTCTCTATATCTTCCTGTGTCATTGGTTTTGGTACAGAGTTTTTCACAACATAATTTACATAACTTATCATTCTTGTTGTCTTTGTCTCTACTGCATTAGATTCACAATTACTTGGTACAGGGTGTCTACTCAAGTAATCAGCTGGATTGTCATGGCCTGGTCTATATCTGACAATCATAAGGCATTAGCCGTAACCGCCATCTCTCTATTCTAGCTGACATCTGCTTTTGACTCTTAAATATCCCCATCAGGGGTTTATGGTCTGTAATCACTCCAAACTTCGCTCCATACACGTATAAATGAAAATGCTCAACTCCAAAAACCACTGCTAGCATTTTTGTTTTTGTCTGTGAATATCTACTTTCGACTGCTGACAGCGCACGACTTCCATAGTCAATAACTTTCCCATCTTGACAGAGCATCGCTGACAACCTAACAGGGCTTGCATCTACAAGAATATCTGATTCTTTGTTTATACCAAAATATGACATTACACCGGCACCGTCCTGTCAACGCTTCTTTCAATTTGTTGAATGCTTCTTCTTCGACTTCCATTTTTAACCTTGATGTGTTAATTCACGTAATAGTCCAGTGATTGAAGCATAATCTGGAATAAACCTTGAGAGATATTGAGCTAGTCCCAACAATGATTTCATTTAACTGGATGATGATGGTGGTGGAGCTTCCCTAAGATATTCTATCTTTTTTGGATCACCTGCTATACCTTCACCATTGAAGATGTCAAAAAAGTATGACCTCTGTCTTACCAAAATTACATTTCTGTGCATTTAATGTTGCACCACTCTGTTTAAGTCTCTCAAGGACTCCTCTCAAATTGTCATCATTCTCTTGTTTTGTCTTCCCGTAGACAACTATGTCATCGGATATGTTCTTACAACCATTTAATCCTGCAAGCAAATTTCTCACTGCTGATGAAAACAACTCTGGTGCTGAATTTACTCCAAACATCAGTCGCTTGTAGCGAAACAAACCAGCATGGGTGCTAAATGTAGTGATGTATCTACTATCTGGGTGAAGAAAAAACTGATGATAGCCAGATGAGAAATCTAATGTACTGAAGAATTTTTTTGTACTGAACTATCTCATCAAAAGTGGGAATCGGGTGTTTTTCTCGCCATATGGCTTTATTGGCTTCTCTCATATCTAGCTACACATATTCGCACTACTCCATCTCTCTTCGGCACGACCACAATGGGACTGACCCATGGCGTTGGGCCGTCAACAATCTCTTCAATTATATCCAACTCTAAAAGCCTATTTAACTCTTTGTCGACATCAGCTCTGACATGGAATGGAATTCGTCTATGCTTCTGTTCTTTTGGTGGAACATCACTATCTATGTGAAGTTTTATCTCTACTCCCTTGATATTTCCAATACCCCTGAACAATTTTAGGTATTGCGCATGTACAGTTGTATCAACTTTATCCTAGGCAGCAACTGTAACATTACATGCTAACTTCATTAACTTTAAATCTTTAGCTGTTTTCCAGGACAACAAATTTACATAATGTCCTAGCACAATGTGAAAATTACAGCAAGTATCTATACCTCCTACAGAAACAGTCAAGGTGGTTGCTCCTAATACACTCATCGGTGTAGATTTTCATATCCAAAAATTTGTGAAGTCACACTCTTAATTATAGGCTTTGGTTTAATCTTTGCAAATGAGCCACTATCCAGGACATTTACTGATGCACCTGTGTCAATGATTGCTGTTAGTTGTATCTTATTCTCGCTATCCACAACCGTAACCTTCCATGTAGGTAGTTTCTTACTTGTTTCTGGAAAACTTATACATAATCTGGCTCTTGATTTCCTCCTTGTTCCTCTACAAGATTAGCCTGATGTGCACCCTTTCTTCCAAATCTACATGATTATATTTTCCACATCCGTGGCACTGTTTTCCCGTCGCTGGACACTGACCTGTATGTGGATATTCCAGTCCACATCTTGTGCATGTGGAACCATTGTTATGCTTTTTGTATTGTTTCCCTGTGAATGACTGTCCCTTTGATTGGAATTTTCTTGAATTTTTCTTCTGTTGAAACTTTTGTTTTGATTTAACATCTCACCTGCTTTTGTCAACATAACATTTCTCTGAGACAACTATATGTATATAATTGTCTCACATTAAATTTAAAAGTTAATTGTTCTTGCTTCTTTGTTTGAGAGGTTGGGAACACTGTAAAAAAAAGTCTGTTAAGGCAGAAGCCAAAATAAATTCTAAATTTAGTGTATTCAAATTTTTGTCTTTTATTTGCAAAGCTCTATCTAAAATTATAGTTAAAGAGGTAGCAGCATTCAATATTATGTTTAGAATATTTATCTTTTATATGACAATACTTGCAGGGTTTCGACTTCACAGACTGATTACAAATTCTAAACATTTATGATAATGCAGCGGGTCCCAAGGGGTGTTGGTCGGCGACTTCAAGTTCCATAATCCCAATTTATCAATCATACATATGTTATAGCCAACTCCTATCAAAAATACCATTTGCTATAACACTAGGTCGATGATATTTGAAAATTTTTATTATATCTATCTTTCTTGTTTTGCATTACACTGTCTGAGGTCAAGTTCTTTGCCTTCCATTTAACTTGCATTTATAGGTAAATGAATAATGTGATTTTATATATAAATACTATGCCTTTAACTGTAATGAGATAATAATATATTATAGCATGATTATTATTTTCAGCACACCTGGTGTTTTGTTCAAAATGAAGTCAATCCTTTTTCTATTTCGGGTCTTGGTTGGCGTTGGAGTAATACTTCTATATTTAATCTGGTAAGACAATTATGCTTAACTAGTTCCAATAAGCACAGTGTAAGTTATATATATATATATATATATATATATACATAAATCATCAAAGAAAGGTAAATACAGTGTTCGAATAATACATCGTGTAGCATAGCTCGCAACGAATGTAGTCCTGTAAATAAATGAATAAAGAAATTGTGTAATAAAATGCCTCTGGCGGGACTCGAACCTGCGACCTCTCGCTGTCAAGGCGAGCGTCATAACCATTAGACCACGGAGGCTTCATGGTTAAACAGATTCCAATACCACCAGATACACTCTATTACACAATAAGTACGGCTAGAAACAAATAATAGCATTTACAGGACTACATTCGTTGCGAGCTATGCTACACGATGTATTATTATGTCCTTTATTCGAACACTGTATTTACCTTTCTTTGATGATTTATGTATATAATGTAACAGTGTTAACGGCTATCTTGATTTATATTTCAGTGTATGCTATTATTTGTTTCATGCCGTACTTATTGTGTAATAGAGTGTATCTGGTGGTATTTGAATCTGTTTAACCATGAAGCCTCCGTGGCCTAATGGTTATGACGCTCGCCTTAACAGCGAGAGGTCGCAGGTTCGAATCCCGCCAGAGGCTTTTTATTACACAATTTCTTTATTCATTTATTTACAGGACTACATTTGTTGCGAGCTATGCTACACGATTTATTATTATGTCCTTTATTCGAACACTGTATTTACCTTTCTTTGATGATTTATGTATAT